GAAGTAAATTTCTATTATGATATAGCCATTTTTATGGAAAGACTAAAAAAAATCAGAATCAATGGAAAATAACTAAATACGGTCGACCCAATTAAAAAATTTGTTAAATGAATGAAAGATGACAACAACCAAATTTGGAGCTAGATAGAACTTTAGTCAATGCCAACCAAGTAAGTGACTTTATTATAGGATAGACTAGAAATTGTATGGGTTACAATTTATGATGTATGAGTTAGATCATATGATGCCGTGTACTAGTATAATATGATGTTTGAGTATATGGTGATGAATGAGTTATGATGCCATATAATATGCGTAAACATATATTTCGATGATTGACGTGCTTGATATACTTGATGCACCTTATGACAATATGATGACTATGACGATTGCATGCTGTTTGTGTTAATATGTTGATGTTTTCCATATTAAGCATGCTATATGATGATAAGTGTCATAGGACACAACCCTAAGAGCATGAAAATGATATCAATATAAATATCCAACGAGCATGTGTTACTTAATGTAACAAGGAGATGAGACTAGAGGGTTGTGTCAGAAGAGATGATATGTAACGCCTCTAATTTTTTCTAACCTAATTAGCGACGTTACCTTATACTTGCATAATCAACAGAATAGGAGTTCACGTAAGATAGTCTCAATAACTACAATGTGTTCATTATTATAAGCAGTTCATACCTGGGGAAATCAATAACGACAGCCTAGCCTAGAAAAAATCAACAGGGAACTAGAGTAAACAATTGCAATAACTATAAACCCAAAAGAATCCAACAAGGCGCCTACGACACTACAAACTCTCCTCAAGATTTCCATGGCCTTCACAGCATCCACCATCAGCCGTACATGGGAGCCTTACCCTTACCTGAAAATATGGGTAGCACATGGCTTGAGTATTATATAAAATACCCAATAAGTCGCCCCACTGTTGGGGTTAAGCATATAATCATACATCAGGATACAAGCCGTCGCACACAATACACATACATGTCGCACATAATACACTTACATGAGCACAAGTGTTAAAAGAAAGAACTCGAGAGAGGGGTCTGTTTTCCATTCCTTCCCATGGCTTTAGGCCCTTGCTTTGTCCGGGCGAGGGTGGATGCATGGTACTTTTCCACACATGGCTCACATGTGTGACTGTGGGCCCACCAGGCGAGTTCGCAAGCGAACTCCCTGGGCCTAGCTTGGTCGGGTATGTATGACATACAATACCGGACGCCACGGAAAAAAGAGGGCCTACATGATATTGTGACAAACACAATATCGAATATACGCGTCCATACCATCAGTAACATAGCGGGGGAGTGCCCCAGGTACATAACCATAGCGTGCATAAGGTTCTTAAGGTTTACCTCCATGGCATTATACATACAACGTTCCAACCCCTCACCACATTACATAGCATAACTGGGTCAAACATCGAGTGAGCATATCGTAGCATACTAGTCATCACATTCATGGCATGCGGGGTTCTCATTACAATCATGACATGTCAATCAAGCTCATACATACAGGGTAGCAAATCGTGTCACAAACGTCATATACATAAACATGGCATACATAGCATTTTACAACAAGAATCACATACATAAACATGACATACATAGCATTTCACTGCAAGAAACACCTACCCTAGCATACATCAACAACACACATGGTGCATGCAAGGGCCACAGGGCACGCACCAACATACATACATAACTAACGCCAACAGTAAGGTTACTTACCTCCTTGGCCTTGGCCGAAGTCACCCACAACGCTAACTCCGTCGCCTAACTACCTCCTATAAGATAACATGATACACTTAGAGCCCTTTCACAACTAGCTCTTATGCCTAGCTACCAAGGTATGTCCCTATCGCAAACTATTTTGTCAAAATGGAGTTATACTGACCTCAGATGGTTGAAACAAGGGTTAGGATGGCTCCAGATGGGTCGAAAACCTAGAAATCGGTATACTATTTGGATGTCGAGCCGTCAAGCCGCGTCGCCGAGCCGAACCTAGTCGAGCGGGAGTGCACGGAGCCGCCGATGGAGCTGAAACTGACGGCTGCGAAGAACACTGCCGCGCAGGATTTCTGGGCGTGCCTCCAGTTTGGGCCGAAAGGGAACGAGGCCCAGTGGTGGTGTCTGAGCGCGGCCTGCGAGGTGCGGGCTGCACGCTAGCCGAGACGACTCGCAGAATGCCGAGGGTCGACCCACGCTTGCCGCTTCGTCTTCCTGGCCCAAAAGCCTCGACAGCCCTAATCGCGGAGCTTGGCTACTGTCGCCAGTGGAAGCGTCGTCGTTCGTCCGTCTCTAGTGGCGCGTTTGCCTCTCCTTGCCCCAACGTACACTGGCGTCCGCTCCTACCTAAAGGAGGCAGCCACTCCTAGGGTTTAAGGGGGTCTGAGTGGATCAATTTTCGGCACTTTTTTTCCTTGGAATGTGTATCGTTACATGATAAGATGGAAATTTGAAGAACCTCATGTATGTTGTGTCCTCATAAGCATAGGGATACTTCCCCCAAAGACGATGAGTGCGAACGTGCATAGTATGATGATGAGGGTGTTCATGGGGAGTATGACAACAAGAAATTTCACTGGCCTCCGAACGTCGCTACAGATTAGCTTGAACAGAGAGGGTCTAGGGGTGTGTGAGCCCTTTAGGGATTCATACTTGCACGTGTGGATCGTGTGTAGAGAAGTATTACCCATCCAATTTGTCTTAGAGGTCACCCCTCGAGAATAGAGATAGGTTCCAAGAGCATGATTGCATGTGTTTGCATTTGCATGACCTCGGCCACTTATTGAGAATTCTTCAAAATACTCAGGCCGTGTACCACATCATTTTTTAGGTAAAGACAAGATGCACAAGACTGCGAAATTGCGAACAGAGGCCGTGCATAGGGTATACTCATATTTAAATTCCTAATCTTAGGTTAGAATAGGTTGCTAGAATCCAACCAAAATCATTCAAATTAGATTAGATTATTTAACCCCGTAAGGAAGGGAATAATTGTAATCCTTTATTCTCTCGTTGATTTTGGATTTTACTTACTTTTTTCATACTTTCCTTTTTATATTCTTATTCTATTTCATTTTCCTTTACTCTAAATTGTTTTTATTTTTATTTTTTCTAATTTTCATTAAACTATTAAATCAAAGAAAATAAAAATAAAAATAAAAAAGGGTAAAATTTTGCATAATTTGAAAACAAATCAAAATCATGCATACATAGGTGTTGTTCTCTAGGGATTGAGATCCAACATTCACGCTCTCTGTGACCGCACAGCTTTTAAACGCACTCCTTCCTTGATCAACAAAAAACGAATACATGAAAAAGAAAATGTAGAATCGGGTTGTGTATAACTAGTCAGCTTGCATGGCCACAATAGTCAATGATTGGTATCTAGAGTTGAGTGGTTACCTCGTAAAATTTGATATGATAGTATGACATCTACTAATCGATAAACCCTTCCATAGAGCCTATAAAGTCACTTTGAAACTAGAGAAGGACCTATCGTGCTTGCTAGCTACTGAGTTACCTATGTGGTCCCTCATCTCTTATCAATTTATAATGTAGAGGCTTTTTTTAGAAGACTCTGGGCTGTTTCCACCAAGCACTTGGTTGTCTCGACGTGTTAAACGATTCGACTTAGACCTTGCTCGACGATACATTTCCAATGTTTCTATTGCTTGACAGAACATGCAGAATTTATTGTTAATATTAGATAAAAAATTTTGGACTAAATAGAGACAACATTTCTTATTATCTTATCGTTTTTCTATTTATTTATAAATAAATATACAATAATTTTTTTTTTAATAATTTTTCTCAAATAATGTTTATATTGATATAATTATTAATTTGGATTGGGGTATTCTTACTAAATAATAAAAAGAATAATATTTCCACTCTAATTGATTTCATTCGTATTTGATTTTATAAATTTATTCTAATTTTGAAAATAAGAATAAAAGCATAAAATCATGGATGTGGGAATAAAACAAATCCAACGTTTTATTTTCGTCTTTACAAAAAAAGATTCCCGATTTTGACCTTGAAGCTACAAATTTTATGGTTTATATATTTGTATTAATTCATTTTATATGTAAAAATATATTTTTAAATACATTATATATTTATATATTATGTAATTTTCAAATTTATTAACATAATTTTCATACATTTTAAAATTGATATTAATTGAAGTTAACTTTTATTATTATTATTATTATTATATTCAAGTAAATGCCTAATTTTTAAAATTTATACCCGTAAGGCTAAGATAAATTATTTTTTAAAAAATTTAAAAATAAATATTAGACTTTTTAGCAAATTTTGTAGTACTAATAAGAATATTTTTAAGTTAAAAAATATATTAATAAAACTTTTTTAAAATTTAAAAATATTATAAAAGGTTAAAAATATTTTAAAAACTAAATATTAATTATTTTCATAGGAGACCAGTGGTAAAGGTATTTTTTAGACTTGTAAGGTTTAAAAGTATTATTTAAACTTTTAAAAGTTTAAGAATATTCTTTCATCCCTGTTTGAAGTAAAAGGTTAAATTTAAATAAATTTTAAAATATATAAACCAAAATGTTATTTTAATATTAATTTATTATATATTATAAATCTAAATACATAATTAAAAAATATTAAGAAGCTAAATGTACTAGAAGGATCTGACAACGTCGTGAATTGATAGTTTGTATTAGAATTACGAGCTTGTTTTAGTTAGTCAACGAAAGATAACCTTGCTACTTAATTGTTATATTCGAGTATTTTTTTTATTATCTCGGCTCTTTCTTTGAGCTCTACTTCTCCCTTCTAGCTCTTTCTGTTCTATCGTTCAAAACAAGATCGTTTGAATCTGATACTTCTTCTAATGTCTTTTTCTTTTTAATGTCATTTTCTTCTTTTTTATTTTATTTTATTTTTTGTTCATAACCCTCTTCCTCTCTGCTTATAAATAACCCTAAAACACATCTCTGAGCTTAACTTTCCCATATCTCCTTTTCTATTATCTTCCCTCACCAAACAAACACTTTTTATTTTCACGATGGCGGGTCGTCTTCGTCGCTCGATGTTTCGTCTTTCTTCCTTTAAGCGACCTTTTATCCATGGTGGCAGTAATTCAAGACAAGATTCAGGTCAATATGACGGTCGATATCCTTCAACCAGGAAAGAGTCATCGATGGAACCACGGGCTCGCTCACCGTCGCTTTCGCCCAAGAGAGAGTCCGTTGCTGCTTCTCCGACGTACTCTGTGAAGAAGGTTGCTTCACCGTCTCCTTCTCCATCGTATGGAGGTTCAAGTGGAGGAGTGATGAGCTCACAACCGAAGGCTGTAGATGAAGACCTTAAGGATAAACCTACTACTCAACCCAGGTTGGTTACACTAAACTCAAACACTTCTTCATGTTAAGGCATCATCTATATGCTAAGGACCATTCATTGCACGTCAATCGTGGTTTATATTAAAAAAAGAAATTTGCATGTCGATCTGATTACCATCTATGCTAATAGGTTATGATATATGACATATTAGGTTATTAGGTTAATTATGTTGGGTGGGAAGAACCAAACATTTTTTATAAGAGCCGAAATTTCTTCTTAGAGTTTTAAAAATCTTGAGGTAAAGTTTGAAAAGGAAATCCTACAAGAAGACAATATTTACTAGCGATGTGTTTGGGGCGTTACAAATGGTATTAGAGCAAGACACCGGGCGATGTGCTGCTGAGCTTCGAAGAGGGTGGACACGAAGTGGTGTGCCAGCAAAGACGCTGGCCCCAAGGGGTGGACACAAAGCGGTGTGTCAGTAAAGATGCTGGGCCTCGAAGAGAGTAGACATAAAACGGTGTGCCAGCAAGGATGCTAGGTTCAAAGGGGTGGACACGAGGCAGTGTGCTAGCAAGGACGCTAGGCCCTGAAGGGGATGGATTTGGTGGGTCCCACATCGATGAAAGAAAGAAAGAATGCTAGCGAGGACGTTGGGCCTTGAAGGAGATGGATTGTGAGATACCCGTTGGGGTGGAGAATAAAGACGTTAGGCCATGAAGGGGTGGATTGTGAGATCCCAGAACAAAGCACCCTTTATGAAGGTGTGAAAAAGTGGAACCTTTCCGTGACATTCGCGTTTTAAAAAACCTTACAGAGAAGTCCAAAAGGGAAAACTCAAAGATGACAATATTAGCTCAGCAAGCCGTTAATATATTATTAAATTCAAACGCTTAATTAAGTTGACAAACTCTAATATATTTAGTCATTTACTCATATTCTTGACACAGATCACCTGAAACCGAGCCTAAAGCGGTGGTCGGAAAAGCCACAAAGAAAGTGACTGATTCGGATCGTCGCATCGAGTCGAGCAAAACGACGATGACATCCCACAAGCATGAGCCAAATACAATAAAGATTGCGGGAGAAAATCATGGGGCAGTAATGGAAATCTTCGAGTTAAAAGGGGAAGAGGGAGATATGATAGAGAAGAAAGAGAGATTTAGAAGAACATTAAACAGGAAGGCAAAGGATCAAAACAAGGAAGGGTGCAAGGACCAGAAGGGCGAAAGCACTTATTTGAACAGCAATGTTCAGGGCGTCAACAATTCTATTCTTTACGGTGCTTCTTTGGCTCACCATGACCCGGGTTTGCACCACGCTCTCTCCTTAAAACCATGAGTAACCTCATGATTGGGGTCGGGAAATGTAATCACATGGTCAAAGATATTTCGTACTAAATTATAGTTTATCATATATATCATATTTGATATTTTATTATAGGCAAATATCTAGATATTTGTCTTCTTACGTTTAGCTATCTTTCCATTTATTCTTCCTTCTATTTATTACTATTTTCATACCTTTGTAATTTATTTTATTATAAATAGAGAACTTTCACGCACCATTTAGGTGTGGTGGATTAAGCAAACATTCTCATAAAACCTATCTAGAACTCTAATTTCACACACCATTCATGGCCTTGAACTCTTGAACTCTAATTTCCAGTTCGAACGAGAATTGGATGTGTAGTATTTCTCTATCCAGAGAATACGCACGCACACATGGACCCTACAAGGTGGGCATATACGTGGTCTAAGTCTGCCCTTCAATTAGCCATGCTCATGTAGCCGGAACCATGGAGGGAAAGGAGCCTGCATAATATCATGGGGTCCATAGATATCATATTGTACTTGTCCATACTAATCATAACGGAGAAGTATCCCAATATAACTCCATCATTTTCATGACATAGCGTACATGCATCCATAATACTTGCCATATCTTTCATGATTACATTCCTGGCTTACTAATGCATCCATAATACTTGTCATATCTTTCATGATTACATTCCTGGCTTACTAATGCATCATAGACATAGAGTGAACATAGTTTTGACGTGGCTTATGAAGGTTCGTATATTATAATATAACTTGTAACATAGCATGAACGTGCACACTGCATAGGTCAAACAATTATAAAAATATGATGTGCAAGGACCACAGAGCATGCGTTGTTCATATGACGAAAAAATCATCCAGCCAGGCCAACAATAAAGGCTTTTACTTGATCGGTCTAAGCCAACCTTACTAACTTATACTTGTGCTAGCCTGAAACTGTCTTAACAAGATACATACAATGATTATGGAGTAATGAATAATTAAAACGTGCTAATCAAGCCAACTCGAGCTAAATCGAGCCGAAAAATCAACAAGATCTTTTATTTTTCCAACTATAACACACTTCATTTCGAATATTACTATAGTAATGAATAATTCTAGATCGAAATGTGTTTAGATATCGTAAAATGCAGGCCAGCATCACCCTGAGTGAAGGAAGAGTTGAACAAAAGCGAGTTATTAACACCTTGAAAATTCCCATTCATAGCCATGATCATAATTTTCTTCTTTCCATCATCATAATTTCCTTCACTTCCTTTCTTCTTCTTCATGTTCTTCATTATTTCCATCCCTTCACATGATTCATTAATACGCATCACAACGCCAACACTTTCACCTCTAATGTTCATGGTCTTGCTCAGCTGATGGTGACTAGATTTTGCAGGCTTCGGGATGGGGGCGGCGGCAGCAACAGCGGGCGGTGGAATTTGAGACAAGGCACTGGTCGGAGTAGGACGTGGAAGAGAAAAGTAACGTTGCCCAGGTGGTAGAGATGACATGATGAAAGGAGAAGTTAAAATGGAAGAATGATGAATAAGATATGTGTGTTATTTTGTGGGTATTTATAGGGCGTTTGGATTAAGGAAATAGAAAGGGGTATGAATTTACAAAGTTTGGTTCTTTTCATTTGGTGAAAGGTTTTTAAGAGAGAGACGTGGGAATAATTCTCTCATACCTTTTTTTTTTTTTTTTTTTTTACCATGAGCAAATATTTGATACCCTTCTAGAAATATGGATTTTCAAAATCTCCTAATTTTCTTTTTTTTAATCTTGTTTATATTTCGTATTTTTTTCATTTTAAATGCTTGAATTAAATTGGTTCGAGTAAATATGGTCCGGAAGAATATGCATACATGCTTCCAAATAAAATTCCGAGTCAATAATTAAAATTTATTGTTGAACTTTATATTTTGTTTAAGAAATGTCTTAAAACGATTCGAAGTGATTATGAATAGGAATGAAAATTGTTTGTATGTTATTTCACTTAAACATTCAAGAATATACTTTTTTTTAGAAGTTTTAGAATCTTTATTATTACTTTTAAAATGATAGGTATCCACGGCTTTGTCTTGGAGTTCTAGGGAGTGCGAACTAAACTGCAACTCTTTTTTCTCCAATTTAGGAGGTTTGTCCATCTTGTACAGTGGTTGATTAGTGTCATGAGGTGATGCACGACCTCACAAGTAAAACTGAGGAGATAGTAGGGTGGATCTGAATAAGTAACTCTCTTTGAATATCATCTGTGAAAGTTAGCTGACAACCCTCCCACGGGACCATACATCCACTAAAATTGAGGGTTGCGATCCTCTGTTTGTTACTAAGTCACCCTACGTGGTTCCACACTCCCCCGCTCAAGGATGGATTTCTACGACTCAAGGGTATTCTTTAGAAGACCCCTTAGCTATCACCACTGGGTTGGGGCACAGACCACACTTCCTTGTCTGGCTCTGCCTAGCTCAATGATATAAGTACTAGGGTTCTGTCTCAACGGTATAGTATCATAGCAGAGAGGGAAGTGGAGGTTCTGGCGAAACTATCCACATTGCTCAAGTCTGGTAGCTACCTCAGTTGTCTACAGATACCGTGGTGTCCTACTAGTTCTTTCCAAGGGAGATCTTGGTGGCTTAGACTTGGATTCATTCATCTCTAGAATTCTCGCGCAAGGTCTCACAAACCTATTGTGGTCTGGCATACTAGGGTCTGGGTGTGCTGGTAATCGTTTCGCGGGCCTAAATGCACAATATTCTAGAGGTATCCCATTCTAGAGTTTTGTCTAGCCTAATTAGTCTTAAACACCCTAGTCTAAGCTCATATCTTCTTACTATTCAACAAGAAAGATAACACAAGCAATCATGCACTCGAGTTAACACGTAGCAGTTCATGCAATATTAACAAACATGCTCAACAGAAAGATAACGTCCATCTTCACCCCTAGAGCATATTTCACAAATTTCCCTTCCTCCTCATGCATACATACATTATCACAATCTCAATCTAAACAGATTTCATAATCGTTCATATCAAGATTCCATTGATTTCCTTAATGAATTCATTTCCATAGCTTTCATACTAATATACTAGGTTCAGCGCGCTAGCTAGATATATCAATTTGGCAGCATGCATGTTTATTCCAAGCAGTTCCTACAAGTACGGCTCATGAAAATCCAAATGGCTACTTATTTGGTTGATGCGTGTCTTCCCGAGCTCGAATTACTTGCCGGAGAGGGTTCTAAAAATTCTGAAATTTTCTTAATAGGCCACAATTCACGTAATAATAGGGTCAGTATTGAAATCGGTGAGGAAATGAGCTCTTTGAGGGAGTTATAGAGGTTAGGAAACTAAAAAAAAATAACATTTAATGTAATAATGGTTTGAATGGATAGAATAATCTGAAAATAGGTTTTATTATTAATCACTCTTTTTTTTTTTTTCCAAATGGTTAAAACCATTTGAAAATACATCCCATATGAATGGTGAATATGAATATAAAATGCTTTAATTATTATAATATCGTTGCTTTATTTCATAATTATTTTAGCATATGACACCAAATAAGAGAGTGGTAATGATGAGGTCGGTCCATTCAGTGCCTCGAATCATGAACAGAATCGGCATGGGTGGGCTTCTTGGTGAAAGCAAGGTGCAGGCCTGGATCACGGTGGCTCAAAGACGAATTGTAGAGAATGGAGTTGTTGACACCTTGAAAATTGCTGTTCATGAACGATTTTCCAGGCATGTTGGAGCTTGATTTGTTTGAATCTTTCTCGTTTTCGCTGCTGTAGCTTACGGTTGGCTTTTTCTTGTGGGTTTCTGTGGCATCAGATGATTGAGTGATGTGCATGACGGCGCCTACGTTCTCTCCTTTGATGTTTATTACATCACTTTGCTGCTGATGCGTTTGTTTCTGCTGGGGTTTGCCTGAGCTGTACTCCGATGCTCGATGGTCGGTTTTCGCAGGCTTCTCGCTGGTAGTCTTCTGGTAAAGGACGGATTTCTGTTGGACCTGTTTAACAATATAAGATCATAACACTAAGACGAGTAAAAGTTTTTTTTTTTTTTTTTGGTGAGATCCCACAACAATTAGAAAGGAGAACAAAATATTCTCTATAAGAGTGTGGAAACCTCTCAATAAGACATAAGACAGTATGTGCTAGCGGTAGGTTTGGACTGATACAGTTGGTATCAGAGACACATACCGAGCTATGTGCCAACGAGGAGGCTGAACCCTGAAGGGGGGTCGACACGAGGCAGTGTGCCAACAAAGACACTGAGCCTCGAAGGGTGTGGATTGAGAGGGTCCCACATCGATTAGAGAAGGGAACGAGTGCCAACAAGGATGCTGGGCCTTGAAGGGGGTGGATTAGGTGGGTCCCACATCGATTAGAGAAGGAAACGAGTGCCAGCGAGGATGCTGGCCCCGAAAGAGAGTGGATTGTGAGATCCGACATCGGTTGAGTCGGAAAACAAAACACTCTTGGTGATATGCCAACAAGGACGCTAAACTCCAAAGGGGTTGGACACAAGGCAGTGTGCCAGCAAAAACGCTGGGCCTTGAAAGGGATGGATTGAGAGGAGTCCCACATCGATCGGAAGGGGGTAGACACGAGGCGATGTGCCAGCAAGGACGTTGAGCCTCGAAGGGAATGAATTGGGAGGGTCCCACATCGATTAAAAAAGTGAACGAGTGTTAGCGAGAATGCTGGATCACAAAGAAGGTGGATTGTAAGATCGAAAAATGCATATACGTATATATATTAACTAATTAAGAAAGTACAATGTACATATTAAAGTCCTCCATGTTTTGGCAGAAAAAAAGTATAGCTCAATTATTAATTAAGAAATATAAATTTTTTAGTCAAAGGTTAAATTATTATATTATATTCTTATCAAGAAAAATGAGAAGAATGTATATAAAAATAAATTAAATATAAATTATAATTGATGAACTAAGGTATTTTAATGGTGATTGAACTAACCTCCGGTGGGCTCCTGGGTCGAACCACTGGCTCAGGTTCATGTCTCTTCTCCAAGCTAGGCAGAGCCAGAGGAGAGAGTGGTGCTTGGACAGTGGAGGTGGAATATTTATGCTTCGCCGGTGATCGTGGCGGAGAGGTATAGGTAGTTTTGAACGTTTTGGGAGAAGCTAAAGCACTGCTCCGCCGTTCTCCGTCGTAACGGTTATACGTCGGAGGAGGAGATAGTGGCTTGCGGGGTGAAGTGCTAGGGGCAGCCGCCCTATATTTGGGAGAAGTAGGAGGCGAGGGATATTTCCTAACCGGAGAAGTGATTCGAGGAGACCTTTCTTTAATAGGAGAAGTTTGAAGAACATTGGCAGTGCGCGGAGCCGATGGATAAACTTCCGGCTCCGACGTGGCAGCCGGCGGCGGAACATCAAGCCGTGGGGCCGTGCCAGGGCGGGGCAGCGAAGAGAAACGGTTCCATGTTCGACCAAAACGAGGAAGATTTGCCATTACAAATATTGAAAATTTTTTAAAAATTGGAGAAGAAGAGATGGTTAAAGCTTTGAGGTTTGTGGGTATTTATAGTCTAACAAAAATTGGAGAAGAAGATGAAGAGAAGTATCAGATTCAAGAAGAGCTACTAACAAAAAAAAAACCCTTCAAAAGCAAAGAATAATTATTTTAATGGATTCTCAAGCAATCTAAATATGTTCACAAAACTTCACCCTTTTTGGTCCCTTCTTGTTCACGCTCCTAAATCTGAATATTGTCTAAACAAATCTCGAGTAACGATTATAATTTGAGTTGTCATTTCGTATAATAAATCAACCATAATTAATGATATGTTTTGTTTGGATCCAATTATATGACCTCCGCACATGTATTTTCATTTCTTTCTCCCAAAGGAAATAGGGAATCAAAATTTGAGAGGTGGAAACATAGAGAATACATAAGGAATCTACTAGCTTATTTGTTTTTTTTAAGATTATTTATCATAAAATTCAAAAAGAAATATTTGTTATTGTTACGTTTAGTTTATGAAAAAATAAGACAAAATTATTATATAATAAGTTTTAAACTTTTTATTTAGATATTATAATTTTAAATTGTTGAATGGAGTTCGAGATGACATCCTCTATCACGTGGCAGTATGTCGTTTCTTCAAGAGATGACATGTTGTCATAGGTTGAAAATTTAATAAAACATTTGTATATAAGTTCTTTTGAAAAAATGACGCTGAGAGATAGTTGGATCATAAACAAATTGTTTATTAAATGATTAGTTGTATTTAAGGTATAAGATATAAATATAGTGGTAAATCGAACTTATGACTGAGTTGTAGTTACGAACAATTCATGAACGATTGAATTCGTGCAAAAATGGTATAGATATTGAATAATTGTCGATCATTCTCACCCATACAAAATGGAAGGGATATTGAATCGGCTTATAATGATTATATACATAGACACAACTTATTATATGGTGCATGAGAGTGCGACTCTAGGTCTAACGCCCCTAATTTTTCTTACCCTAAATTAGTAACATCCCTATATGCCTGCTTTAAACACATAGGGAGATTCTCATTATAAATACTTTTAAAGATAACATAGTTTTTAACATAAAATAAATTGGAATAAAACATCTATCAACTACTAATTAAACTTAAAGCTACTATCCTATCATGATAGATCATGACTTCCATGGCTTTTCCAGCGTTTGCCGTCATCTACATGCTTTACCTTCACCTGAAAAATATAAGAGTAGTACGTGACTTGAGTATTTTATGAAATACTCCGTAAGTTAACCCATTGTTGGGGTTAGCAATGCAATCACACACATAACATGATTGAAACATATCTTAAAATTGTCACATGACCTTTGACTCTTTTTAGTTTTAGGTAGAATTGAATGTCTAGTACTTCGCTACACACGGCCCACATACGCACACATGGACCCACCAGACAGGCTCGTATATGTACCAAACGGCCTTTTCAACTGTAAGGTCACTTACCTGATTAACTTAGGTTAGTGTCATCAATTTATTCTCAATGAAAGTTTGATTCTGTCCTTTGAAATTCAAGTAACCTATATGAGCCCATGACATTGGTTTTATCTTCAAACTTTTTCAAAACTATTTCTCTAATTTATCCTTAATGTGTTAAACTTCATAAAACACGAGAGTTTTTGTATGAGTAAAGTCTTGGAATGTTTATATATATTTATACAATATTCAATATCCGAAAAAGTATATAATAAATTTAAACGAATTATAAAAGAATATAGAAATTAAGAAATTAAAGACTATAGCATTCAAAGATGAAATAAATATTGAATTTGTGTCATATATTTTTATTCATATCGATTATAACCTTAAATAAGAGTCCAAGTAAATGGCTTTTCTTCTTTTTTTTTTTTTTTAAACGCCAAGTAAATGGCTTATTTCTTATACTTAAATACTTCACGAGCCATTATCTCTATGCCTTGTAACTCTTACGCCCATCAACAGCGGCTCCGTCGCCGTCCGCCGCATCGGCAAACTTAAGATGCAGGCCGGGATCACGGTGGCTACACGACGAGTCGTACAGAACCGAATTGTTTACACTCTGAAAATTGCTGTTCATAAATGCGGTCATTGGCACATTCTTCTTTTTCTTTTCCTTCTTTTTCTTCTCCTCCTTTTTCTTCTCCTCATTTCCATCCCGGCCGCCGCCTTCTGTTTCGTTCTTTCTTACGGTTTCTCCGCCCAAACGGTGGCCGACCGACGACTTATCTATTTCCATGACTGCGCCTACGTTATGTCCGGCGAGGTTTATAGACTCCACTGCCTTCTGCTTTTCATATGGCTTTCCCGAGCCATACTCCGATGGCCGATCAGACTTCACCAGCTTCTCGACCGTCTTGTTGTACACAATGCTTTTCTTCTCTACCTCCGGCTGAATTCTGTTATCGATCATATAAATAATTTTTTTTTTTTTAAATAAATCAAATATCTTGTATCAATTTATTGCTCTAATTTCAAACCTAAATCGTTTGAAATTAAAATTAATTTAGCTTAATTATTAAGCTTTTTTAGGTAATTTAATACCTGGGTTGAGTGGTGGTTTCATTAACGGCTGTGAATTGGGTAGGCGGCAGAGCGAGAGGTGGTGGCGGCGGCGGCGGCGATGTTCGCAGCGACCTTGACGGGGACTGAAGTGGGGATGTTTGGCTTAACCTGTCGGGATATTTCTTTGCAGGCGAAACCGGAGGCGATAGTTCGTCCTTGGGCGGCGGTGGGCTGGGCACACGTGTGACGGAAGGTCCATATTTTGGCGACGCAATGGGTGACGTGGGTTTCTCCGCAGGTTGAAGACTCTGGCTCCTCTTATAAAACGGCTGAGTTTCAGGCTTGAGTTCTGCAGCAGGCAGTGTGGTAGGGAGAACTGGCGGCGCCGCCATGGAAGGACGTTGTCGTGAGAGGCCAAAGCGAGGAAAATTTGACATATTGTTTTGGTAGCTAAGAAAATGAAAATCCAAATAAAATATGAAATATATTGAAAAGCCTTGTCTTTGTAATTGATTTATATTGTGGGATATTAGAAAATTATAATAGAAGATCAAATTATTCTTTAAAAAAAAAAAATAATAATCTCAATAACTTCTTTAATTATAATATGCTGTTGGGAAAAATATGAAGAAAAGAATCTGAAATAATCCTATTTATTAATTTAGTATTCAAATATTCTCTTTTTCCTTAAACTACAAATTTAATTTTTTAAAAAATTCATTTTGTATTTAATTTAACGATGCATTTCAAATCATTACAATTATATTTGTTTTCATATTTAAGAAAATAAGAATAAAAATATGTTCTTAAAGTTTATGAATGGATTAAAGTTGGCCACCCTTCATTGGAACAAGGAATAATCTTGTATCCTTTGAACAAAATGCAAGTTATTCACGAGTGAAAATAACATTTTTCAAATTTATTATTTTATTATTTTTTTAAGTTGATAACATTTACGGTTGATCTTGACATGCTCATGACAAGTCTTGAGAAGAACCCAAACTTCGTATTCATTTTTCGTCTAGCTTTATGGCTTCGTCGGGCTTTGGATGAGATTTGTCTTTACCAACCAAACACAACTTATGCACAATCCAAACTTGTTCGGCTACACACGCCGCCTATGCATGTTATGTTCAAACATCTGCAACTCGACCAACTTGCCTCTGCACTAGGCCAAGTCATTCGTTTCGACCTTGTTTCTACACGAAACCAAGGTCTCTCAACGCATCATCGCATCTCAGCATCATTTAGGTTTCCAATCAACATGACCATCATGTCTCAATTGTTGGGATTTATGCCCTGAAGTATGGTAATTAATTATTTAATTTTTTAACAATAATTTTTATTATTTTATTTGTAATTTAATTGTTATACAAAAATCTAAGGTTATTAATGTAATTTTGAATAGTATATGGTTGACATACAAGAGGATTGTGTTCAAGTAATAACCTAAAGAGTCTATAGTATATGGATAAGGTTAGGTGCCTTATCCTGGTAACACTATTAATACTACCCACTCTATAATCGTTGCAAATGATTTGATCCAAATCATTCATGTGAAGACATGTAAGTGAAGGTATCCTATACAATGAGTTTGTATAAGACTAGACCAAGAAATATTTAATCTCTCTTTATAAATCCGTTAATTAAGAAGATTAATATTTCACATGATGATCATGAGCGACTCGATCTTAATCCTAAGTGAGACTCCTGCCTAGGCTTGGCCTTTAATTTATCTGGGTGAGAATGACTCTTTTAGCCAATTGAATATGCATACTATTTTCAGGACTTGACCAAAATAGGGAGTTGGTAACATAATATCATGAAATGGAATTTACTCTGAAAGTGATGAGTTGTTCTCTTAAGTACTAATTTCGGGACTTGAACAATGGGGCCCCACCCTCTCATTGGCCCGAGAGGGACTTGGTTTATGATTGGATCATAAACAAATTGTTCATTACAGAATCAATGCTACTTAAGGTGAAAGATGTAATTACAGAGGTAAAACGGACTTTTGACCCAGCTGTAATTATGAACAACTCGTGAAGGATCAACTTGCTTGTAATAGGTATATCAATGGACATAATTTGTCCTACCTTGCATAAGAGTGCAACTCTAGGCCTATAGTGGGGTGACCTATAGTCCATGAATGGAAATTGATTCATTAAAGAGTTTAATTAATTAACTTTAAATCATTGGAGCTCATAATCTGTAGGGCCATAAGACCTTGCTAGCTTATAGTAACACTACCAGGTTCAATTTATTTGAAAGAAAATTTGAAAGGTTCAAATTGATATTTAATATATTTGATATATTAAAGGCACCAGAAAAAACAAATTTAATTTGAAATATCAAACTAATATTTAATATATTAGATATAATATATTAAATAAATAGAGAAAATATAATTAAATTGAAGTGTTCAAATTAATATTTAATAGATTAGATATTTAATTTGGACGTGTTCCAATACTCTCCTTTTGAAATTTTTCCAAAGTTCTCGATTTGGAATTGTTCCAAAAAGAAAAAAAAGTAAATATTTTAAGATTTTGAATCGTTAAGGTCAAAGATAATTCTAATTTTATTACGTAGGGAATAGATACGAGAAAGATCTCAAACCCTAATAGTTCTATATTGGAAAGATCTCACACCCTAATTTTATTAGATTTGGAATTGGTTCCCATGCCACGTGTAAAAGATCTTAAACCCTAATTTATTAGATTTGGAATTGGTTCCAACGAAGAAGATCTTAAAATCTAGTTTTATTAAATTTGAAATTGTTCTAAACTTTAAACGGTAGTTTTATTAAATTTGGAATTGTTCCAAACAGAAAGATGTTGAAAATTCATTTAATTCAATTTCTAGGATATGCCACATAGGTTGGTCAATTTTAATTTATTTTTAATTTAATTATGCATATGAGGTATGTTTTAAAGTGATTGATTGAATGCATATGGTATGTCGTTTAGTTTAAATTTTCATCATAGGTTAAGTATGATCATGCATTTTAATTATTTTTTTTTAATATAAATGTTATATTTGGAAAATTTTGATTAGGTTGTTTTCTAATAAAAATAAGATAATTTTCTAATTAGCATGTAATGTTTGGAATATTAAATTAGGATATTTTGGTTCTATTTACTTCATACGATTATGATTGGTTCTAATATGATTAGAATTTTGAGTAATCTAGTAAAATTGATTTTAAAGAGATTAAAATGCTGGAATGAGTCAAATTTTGATTAGTTTTTTTAATAGTTTAAAAACTTGGTAATTCACGTTAAAACAACCCAACCAACATAAGAATTATGAAAGGGTAGATTGGAAACTTAGAGATTAGCCTAATTTGTTTAGTAATAGAAAACTCTGTTTCAAAATATTTAGTAGGGGATGGATGTCTGTCAACATATAAAGATATTAAAGACACATGTCAGGATATCCTACGTTCTTATTATTGATTCGCACCGTGAGATTCATGCGTGGCCTTGTGGCGGCTTTTGGACTGCCCCCTACAGAATGTGTTTGCACGAGTCAATATCAAGGTGAATATCTTGAGAAAGTATTTATAGTAAATGGTAGAAGGAAATGTGTCAACGTATCTTATGGTCTCCATCATTGGTTCATAACACGAAATCCATGCGGGGCTTCGTGACAGCTATTGAACCGTCCCCCTACAGAAGGTGTTTGCATGGGTCAATATCAGGGTGAACTCTTGAGAAGGATAGGATAGTAATTTTATTTTTTTTGTTTTCTTGATTGAGAAATGCTCTCAAGACCTATTATCAATGTAAATCGAATTATTCGAAGAGCACATGATTGGTGAATCAAAGGTGATGAGAAAGCTTTGTTCATATCTTCTAGTTGACATGTGGATGTCATGACTAAAAGATAAGAAAATGACCCAAACATATGAGACGTTATAGAAGCTAAATTTAGATAATTATCTAAATAATCTCTGAATTAAGTATTATAAAATTTAAAAAAAAAAATCTTATGACTAAAGCTATTGATAGAAAAAAAGTTCCTAATTAGACACGTGTGATGAGGGAAATTTTAGAAATCACTCTAGGAAAAAAAAATCAAAATGGAAGTATATTTGATTGAATAGATTTTTTGTGGAGACTAGGTGCAACACTTGATAGTTGATATAAGATCTACTATCAAGATTTGTTTTTCATTACACGATATGTAATTCTTGAAAAATACTTGATAATGTAGAATATATTATACATGTTGGCACTAGGACATCAATATCAGTTGGTGTAGTGGGAGACATTAAGATGTCTTTAAGAATTGTTATTAAATGATGAATACGGTGTTTTTAATAACTATAAGAGAAATTCAATTCCTCAAACTTTAGTTCATATTAATATGAATTACTTCGAAATATTAAAGTTTATATTTTCAAAATGGTTTAAAAATATGTTCCGCTCAAATCAAGTACCATTAGTATGTGTTAAAATGTTAACACTTACTATACTACGAAACATTGAGATATTCATGATTAGAGAATCAAGATTAAAAAGACAAATTGTTTTATTCAAAAGATGATACTTGTCTTTGATAATTCATTTGATTAATGTCAAATGGAATACAATGAAGCGACTAATAAAAGATAATTGGGTAAACGTTGGAGTTAATTACTTTGTATGTCTTTAGATCTCACTTTTCATGCAAAATAATCATTGGGCTTTTATTGAATAAGGCTGTAAGATCAAACAGCGTCGCGGGCTTATGCATTATGACGCAAGTGGTCCGATGAATGCAAAAGTCAAATAAAATAAATATTAAATTTATATTTTTATTCATATCCATTCTACCCTTACATAAGAGTCCAAGTAAATGGCTTTTTTTCTTTTTCTAAACGCCAAGAAAATGGCTTATTTCTTATAATTAAATACTTCACAACTACGCCTTGTAATTCTTGCGCCCATCAGCAGCGGCTCCGTCGCCGTCCGCCGCATCGGCAAACTTAAGATGCAGGCCGGGATCACGGTGGTTACACGACGAGCCGTACAGAACAGAATTGTTTACACTCTGAAAGTTGCTGTTCGTAAATGCGGTCATCGGCAATTCCTTCTTTTCCTTCTTTTTCTTCTCCTCATTTCCATCACGGACGCTGCCTCTTACGGTTTCTCCGCCCAAACGGTGGCCGACCGATGACTTATCTATTTCCATGACTGCGCCAACGTTATGTCCGGCGAGGTTTATAGCCTCCGCTGCCTTCTGCTTTTCGTGTGGCTTTCCGGAGCCGTACTCTGACGCCCGATCAAACTTCGCCGGCTTCTCGACCGTCTTGTTGTACACAATGCTTTTCTGCTCTATCTCCGGCTGAATCCTGACCATATGAGTAAATAATTATTTTGTAATTTATTTATTTAATGATTATAAGAAGAAAATTTTATGTATGGTTGTAATAATAAAATATAAATTTAATAAACTAAAATTAATTAAGCTTAAACTCTTTTAGGTAATTTAATACTTGGGTTGAGTGGTGGTTCCATTAACGGCGGTGAACTGGGTAGGCGGCAGAGCAAGAGGCGGCGGCGGCGGCGGCGGCGATGTTCGCAGCGACCTTGACGGCGACTGAAGTGGGGATGTTTGGGCTATCCACCTGTCGGGATATTTCTTTGCAGGTGAAACCGGAGGCGATAGTAGTTCGTCCTTGGGCGGCGGTGGGCTGGGCACACGTGTGACGGAAGATCCATATTTTGGCGACGCAATGGGTGACATGGGTTTCTTCGCAGGAGAAGGAAGCCAGTGGGGAGATGATTTCAAAGGAGAAGCCGGCTCCGGCGCCGGCTTCTTCTTTAATTCGATCGTCGGCAGTTTGAGTGGAGGTACTTCAACCTCACAAAGTCCCATCAGATTCATCGAGGCAATTTTAGGATCGAGTTGTGTAGCCGGCAGTGAGGTAGGGAGAACTGGCGGCGCCGTCACGGAAGGACGTTGTCGTGAACGGCCAAAGCGAGGAAAATTTGACATAGTGTTTTGGTAGCTAACAAAAGCATTGATTTGGTGATGTCCCACGTTGGTTGGAGAGGAAAACAAACCACAGTTTATAAAGGTGTGGAAACCTTCCCGTAGCAGATGTTTTTTAAAGACTTGAGGGGAAGCCCGAGAGGGAAAGTCCAGAGAGGACAATATCTATTAGCGGTGGATCTGGGCCGTTACAGATTTTGCTTATCCCAATACACGTGATACACGTAAATACATGAGGTCCCCATATTTAACATATATGACTCCACGACATGGATTAATCATATTATTGCATAACTTATAACATGACATAACACAACATAGTGTCCTTGTTATCATACATCATACAATACATCATACAAGTATCTTACTTCATGTGGTCTAATGTATGAATATGGATCAATGTGTTATGACAAAATTATTGAAATATCCATACGATGAGATTTATCTACATGTTTTATGTTTTCCGTTGTGTTAAAAAGAAGGATGGAACATTGTGATCTGTGTTGCAGGTGATTGATGAACGTTATCTCCCGACTGAGTTTGCTCGAATGCATGAGAATGTATGTTTGTTCTAGGTGATTGATTGTATGATCTCTATATAGAGCATAAACGTCTGTATTGAGATAAGATTAGGGTGTTAGAGATCGGCCAATTAAACGATGACCTAGGTCAGGATGCCATTAATAGATTGAGTACCTTTGGATCATGAGCGTGTATTAGGGATCTAAACCCTATTGCTCTCAAACTAAAAAAGCTCTAATGAGCTAGAATAGTGAATCCAGGAGTTGCGAGTCAGTGTTTTAAGCCGTCTAGATGCCCTAAGAATCTAATAATCCTCCACGACACCAAGGGACGAATAAGGTAGCTCTCCAGGGCACTAACAACATGGACGGTGTCATCAAAGTCTCCAACCCCCATCTTCTCTGGTACCCTAATAGCATTATCAGTGACCTAAGTCAAAGAGAAGTAGCATGTCAAGGTGATTAGGTGTCATCGTATTATGGAAAAGGTTAGGGATCTTCTAAATAGGATCTACATGTTGTAAACCCGTCTTGAGTGGGGGTGTGAGATAGCACAAGTTCACATAGTAGCTGACCGACACATGGAATCGTTTCTCTAGGCTTAGTGTGATTTTATAGTCATGTCGAAGAGTCCACTGGTTAATCTTTCACTTATAATGTTTATCTATCAACAAACGTCATACTGTCCTACCATGTTTTATTGAGGTAGTGCCTCAATCCAACATGTCGGTCGTTCACTACCAAGACAAGAGAAGAGTCCAAAAGTTCAAGGCCTCCCAAAACAAAGCACGTAATTAATTTCAATACTTTTTTTTAAATAATTTTATAAATTATTAAAAAATATACTCACAAACATACTTTAAATAAATACATATTAATTTCAATACTTTTTTTAAACTGCAAGTGCCGTACACATTAAAAAAGACATTACCTTTAAAATTATATAATTCACCTAATTTTCCTGGACGTTGATTCAGTTACTGACACATACGAAATCAACGGCTTAGATTCCATGTTAGTGACCTGGTATCTTTCGGCAACTAGGTCCCACTTGCGGCATGTGGGTCCCATTGGGCCCCATATCGAACCTTCCCAACAAGCCTACGCGAGAACAACACGTTTTGATTTTAAAGTAGCACTAATTAAGATTAATAATTAATCTCGTCTTAATTACTCAATTCAAGTTTTAATTTTCTTTTTAAATTTATATACTTTCAATTTTCTAAAAAAATAAAAAATAAAAAATTTACATATTAGTTTCAACATTAATTATTTAATTAAATTATCATTTTAAAATATCATTAAAATATTAGAGATATCATACGACAGTACAGCTTTCTACATATAAATAACCAAAAAAAAAATTAGAACGTCACATAAAAAAATCTTTTCCTAAATATTTATATGATTTAATTAAATTGTTCACGTTATTGACAATCCTTTGCTCGGACAAAATACACACTTGTCTTTCCTTAAATATATGACATGGCTAAGATAAGAGCATGACTCTAATACCACTTGTTAAGAACAATAGATCTCTACAACGACATGATATTGTTCACTTTGAATAAGCACTCGTGACTTTGTATTTGGTTTCCCAGAGATGCCTCATTTATCATGATTTTCATCTTAATTAGTTAAGGTAGAATTTTGCAACCCGACAAATTAAAATCTCAATTTCTCTTCTCGACCCTTTGGAGACATACAATTTCTCTTCTCGACCCTTTGGAGACTTACTCTCTTATGGAAGATAGTGTCATGGAAGCTCTCGACCTCGTGTTGTTCCCCATTCAATTCAATTCGTTTCAAAGGTGATTTTACTATATTTCTGATCAGGAACGGGCCCTATCACAAAAATATTTTTTTTAGTGGGACGATAGCTCTGAAAAGACAGATCGCCCATCTTTTCTTTAATCTCGGGAGAAATACGATCGGGGGGGGCTAATTCAAACCCTTCGGGTAAAATAAGAACAGCCCCCACATTCAAACCGCCCCTTTTCCCATTCGCAAGAACTTGTTTGAGTTGCTCGTGTTGTTCTCAATTCAATTCGTTTCATTTATAGGGACTAAATCGTAATTTAACTCATACTTATGAATTAAGGAGAATGGGATATAGAGGAATATATTCGTAAGGAAATAAGTATAGTTAAATTTATTGAAAACTAGAATTTGACTTCCTGAAAAAAAAATCTTTATATTTATGCAAATATTCATAAATGGCAACTTCATTATTATTTTTTTATTTTTTATTTTTTTCTCTATTCTCGTGACATTTTTCAATTTTACTTCATGATTAAGTATTTTCGAAATTAAAATAGTAGAAACTAGATCACTCACAATCTTATACGATATAGAGATATCTGTATGAATGAAATTTAGAATTAAATGAGTTTATTGTCTATATGGACCTCCTAGAGTTAAATGGGTTTGGCGAACAACCACCGACCCTTAGTTAGGCTTATGTGAGAGTTGAACCAAGGAGAAGCAATCGAGCACAGAAAATAGCCTGACCTATCAAGCTTAAGGCACGTGCCATTTCTATTGTAACTTCCCTTTGTCTTACGAAGTACAACCGTGACAATGAAACAAAATGTCTAAATTGCCCTTAGTTCAACTCCACATTGGGGGTTTTTTTTCCTTTTTGAAGATTGAAAATGGGTTTGAAAAAGATGTCCAATTCAAGTTGAGTATTGAAAAAGGACAAAGAAAATGAAATCATAAATAAATAAATAAAAGATGCAATGTTTGTTGTTCCCACGTATGAAAATGGTGACACGTGTAAAAGATAAGTAAAGGTTAGCTTAAGCACTTGGATTCATAAGGGTTGGATATTCCAACAAGAAAACACAAACTTGGGATATTCCGATATTCCACATTTGTCCTTGCCCAAATTATATTTTTTTTTATTAATTTTAGTAATATAAAGGTTGAAATTTATGTTATTTATGTTCTATATTGATTATTTTATTTCCGTGTAATTTTGAATAATATGTGATTAACCATATGGAGGTTTCATGCCCTTCTAACAGATATTGTTTACCGGAATGTTTCATGCCCTTCTCCAACCGATGTGGGATCTCACAATTCATCCACCTTGGAGATCCAGTGTCCTCGCTGGCATACCACCCGGTGTTCTAATACTATTTGTAATAGCTCGAGCTTACCGCTAACAGATACTGTCTTCTTTGAATTTTGTCTTCAAGGAATTTTCTTAGGATTTATACACAGTGTATCTCAAATTCTTAGTGATTTGAGAAGAGCAAAGTTTATACATTAACAAAGAATCAATAATACTCAGTAATTATATGGAAAAAACGAACTTTGAACCATTAAATTGCATTAAATAGTTATATTTATGTTTTCAAACTTACTATTTTTGTTTATGATTGGAATTATAAATCATAAATAAATAATTTATTATTTATCCATTTTTTTTTTTTCCTTAATTTCAAAGGGAGAAAGGAATATTTTGGTAGATTTTGAAAATGATTTAAAGAGAAGAAAAAAAAAATCGAAACGGTTATTCATGTCAATTGTTTGTTAAATTGAGATTTTCTTTCATCTTAAGATACATATGTATTTGCATCAATCGTAATCATTAATAAAAGGAAGATTTCTAAAATTATTCCTCCACCACAGCAATAACGAAATAGTTATTAATTAAATAAATTTATTGTGACCCTCAATAGAGGAAGGATAAATGAATGAACCAATATCACATTCGAATAAGAGCGATCTACAGACAGAAAAACTTAAAAAAGGACTTAAAATAATTGAAAATTTACTACATATATCAACAAGATACTGTTCTCCTCCAAAATTAAATATGTTTTTATACGTATCAGTGAGAACAAAATATTTTGAAATAACTTGGGTTCGACCTAGATCTTTGGATATGTAGAGTGACACTTATAATTATTAATTAAATTACTCTTCGAACTTATTTTTTAATATTATTCTTCCACATTGCTTGTAATATACTTAAGTTTCTTAAAAATAGTACTAGAAGTCGGAGTTTCTGTATGAAAATAATTAGATCGAAAGATTTTAAAAAATAAAATAAAATTGATTATTATTATATTGGTATGGAGTGATTGGTAGCCACCATAATTAAATATTCGAATTCATTTGTTTATAGAGTATTAGTTATGGTCCCTAGTAATGATATAATGTCACACCCTAAAATTGTTCGTACCAAATAAAAAGGCTCATCATTAACCCATGCTCCCAAACAACCATCGATATCGTCCATAAAATTTCAATAATTTGCACATTATTATTATTATTATTTTGGCTTTAAATTAGTTTTATCGCCCGATCGGGTCTCATAAATTATTTTTGGGCTTACAAGAAATTATCGTACTAATATGTAACATTTTTTGTTGTAAAATGTGAGAAAAGAGATGGGCTTTTAAGAGAGTAAAATTATTATTTGACTTTAATAAATCATATGAATCAAATTAAAATTAAAATTAAAATTTATTTTCAAAATGATCATTAATTTATTTAAAATTATGCCCCCATGGCTCCATTGGAAATTAAACATTTTTTTAATTATTTTTTAAATTGAGATAAAGTAGAGTTTAGTATATTTTAAAGGACTATTGTTTATGTCATCAAATTATTTATTACTCTATAATTTTCAGTGCTATAATAATACAATTTTATATTTCTTGATGGGCAGAAGGGTTGAATTGTACACCAAAACACCAACCCTTTAATTTCTTGAACTTAAAAACAAAGATTCGTGATGGAACAGAATTTCTTGAAATCTAAACTCCAAATATCAAAACATCATATGAACCTACCCATTTCCATACGACCCATACATAATAATACACCAAAACGCTCAAAGTTGTATCTCATAAGCATATCATATTCTTTATTATAAAAGATTAGAGATCTATTAAACACAAAAGTTCATAAACTAAACGAATAATTTACATCAAAGGGTCCAACGACCATAAGATGAAGATGAGAACTTGGGAACTCTAAACCGAATGGGATGAATTTAGGCGTAAAATAGAATCCAAAGAGGAATAGATTATGGGATATTGAAAGCATAAATTGGGGAATAAAAGATGAGTGATAGAGATGAATTTGGTGTGTGGCGGAATGGAATTGGGGATTTGAAAATTGGAGAAGGCGAAATAGCCAAAGCAGCAAACAAAAGGGCAATTTGATGAATGAGAATTGGCTGGAAAGTAGCTGCCAAGCCAACGACATGCACAACACAAACACAGACACACATATACAGAGCAAGAAGAACAAAACAAACACACTTTTGAGAATCCACACACTTTCATGCCTGCTCGCTCTCCATTTCATATTTATTCACTATCTGTTCTTCTACTTGTTGACCCTTTAATCTCTATACCTCTCTCTAAGAGGAGCTGGAGATGGAGCTGGGTTTTGGTTTTGGCCTCCATTAAACCTGGCCTTTCAAACTTTCTTGGCGTTTTCTATTAATTGTTCTTCTGATTTGTTTCTTTCTAGGGAAGGATGGGCACCCATTAAAGTTTTTCTCCTCCTCTGCCTTCAAATCTTCTTGGGATTCTTGTTGTTTTCTTGTGTGGGTTGGGGTTCAGCTGCCATGAAGTTGTTTTTCAGGTTGTGTTTTGTAATCTTCGTTGGAATTTGTTTCTGTTGGTTGTTGAGGGTTCTGTTGTTCAGAACGGGGTTGATTTTCCTCCTCAAGAAATGGTGCAGAATTCTACAAGATTGTTTCCATGTTTATCAGTCTTTCAGAATACCAGAATTCAATGAAACTTCTCAGCACAATCATCTTTACAGGAAAGTCTCTGCTTATCTTAGTTCTTTGAATGCTCTCGAGGATTCCGATTTCACCAATCTCATCACCGGAAAGAAGCCTAATGACATACTTCTCCGCCTGGATTCCAATCAGACGGTGGAGGACAATTTTTTGGGGGCCAAAGTGTTTTGGACGAATCAAGAAATTGGTAGCAGAAATTTTGTGTTGAAGATTAGAAAGGCGGATAAGCGCCGAATTCTCCGCCCTTATCTTCAGCACATTCATACCCTAACTGCCGATGAGATTGAGCAGAAGAAAGGGGATTTGAAGCTGTTTATGAATTCGAAACCTAATAATCAGTCAGATACAAGATGGACATCGATTCAATTCAAACATCCATCTACTTTCGATTCAATTGCTATGGAAACAGATCTCAAAGACAAGGTCAAATCCGATCTCGAATCGTTTCTCAAATCCAAACAATATTACCACAGATTAGGCAGAGTTTGGAAACGAAGTTACCTTCTATACGGCCCTTCAGGGACTGGAAAATCCAGCTTCGTTGCCGCCATGGCCAATTTCCTCTCCTACGATGTTTACAATATCGACCTCTTCAAAGTCTCCGATGACTCTGATTTCAAGTTTCTTCTGCTACAGACAACAAGCAAGTCAATAATCGTTGTCGAGGATCTCGATCGGTTTCTGATGGAGAAATCTTCGGCGTCGAGCGTAACGGCGCTGATGAACTTCATGGACGGAATATTGACATCGTGTTGTGCGGAAGAGAGAGTGATGATTTTCACCGTCAATAGCAAGGAACAGGTCGAACCGACTATTCTCCGACCGGGCCGAATCGATGTTCACATCCATTTTCCACTCTGCGATTTCTCCGCTTTCAAGAATCTCGCAATCAACTACTTAGGCGTCAAGGATCACAAATTGTTTCCTCAAGTCGAAGAAATTTTCCATAACGGCGCGACTTTGAGCCCGGCCGAGATCGGCGAACTGATGATCACGAACCGAAACTCGCCGAGCCGAGCAATTAAATCAGTCATCTCAGCATTACAAACCGACGGCGAGCGGCGGAGAGTCGGCCACATCGGACAACTGCTAAGCGACAGCGGGTCGAGGCAGTCCGCCGCGGAATCCGTCGAATCGAGCGGCGTATTCAAACCCGAAAACAATCACACCGGAAAAGAGTTCAGAAAATTGTACGGGCTTCTGAGGATGAAAAGCAACAAAATTTCTCAGTCGTTGGATTCATCTCCATTGTACAAAGTGAGATGATTTTGAACACGTGGCGGAATCGTAATGGAGGATTTAATATACAGCCATGGATTCGCATGCACTGGATCTGCAGCGCTTCATGCTAAGTTCTGTAGATAGGAAGATTATTGTTACGATGAAAAAAATCTTTATTTAAAAATTAAAAAAAAAAAAAAAAAAGTTTAATTTGGTTTTGAAGGAATTGTAAATTGGCTCTATTATTAATACAAACAACAATATTCCACCTTTTATTAAAAATTAGGTTAAAATATAATTACCAGATTTTCTCGACATTCAAATGAATCACTTTCAGTCCCATCGTATTTCGACCGAAGCTAATAATAAAAATATTTTTAAAAATTCAAATATATATTTGATACTGTAGAATCATATTTTAATTATATTTTTTTCAAAAATATGTGTGATACCCAAATTGTCAAAATTTATTACAAATTATAGAATTTGTTTTATAGTATTGACTTCTCATCTAGATTTTTTTCAAATGTAACAACTTTCCTAAATTTAGTTTATAATTATTTATTTTCGTGACGTTTTTGTTTTTTATTTTAAAAGTGACTATTTTGATTCCGAATGTATATGGTAATACTTCAATTCTAAGAAAAAATTAGGGGTTTGTGGACCAAACTGACAGTAGAAAGTTACAAACTCATGGTAAATAGTTGTTTGGTTCTATCAAATTACAAGGACAAATTCTAGCTTCCTAAAACTTTATGGACTAAATTTGCAATTTAACCTAAAAAAAAAAAAAAAAGTATGTAAGTAAGTTCAAAATTACCCGTTAAATAGTTTGAATGTTCGGGAACGGGTTTAGTATTCTGTATGATATCTAGGGATGGTGTCCTCTGGGTTTAATCTTAGCCTCACTCCGCACGGCTGGGACACACTGGCGGGGCCGCCTGGCTTGTCTGTATTGTCAAAAACTTGTGATTTTGTGAAGCTTGTGGGCTTGTGTTTGTGGTTCTTATTACCCACTCTATTGCCCCCAATTGTTTAGGATATCAACTTTTTGTTCCTTTTGATATTACGATGTTTCGTGGGTTGAAATTAAATCATTAGACGTGTATGATGGTCGACGTCTTGATGATCAATGATACCGATGAGGGAAATAGTGAGAGATTTGAACAGTGAGATTATAATGAGTTCGCAAAAGTTGGCTATGATAGCTGTGAACAGAGTAGATTCCTAGATACCATGATTGAGATCGTTAGTTTTCCTAGAAACTCAAACACTGAAACTATAACCGAGATCGTAGAGCTCAAAGAAGTGACGATGGTATATGAAAGACAATGAAGTTGGACTGCGACCTTGTTCGGAACTTATTAAGAAAAACTTCACGAACGAATTTATTTATTTTTTGAGATCAAATTTTATTTTTTAAAAATTTGGTATTCTTAAACATAAGAATATGTATTAAATGAGTAAATTCCAAAGAATGTTAATTATAATTTGTTTTGTATTTTGAAAATACCTAACCATCCCTATATTAAGGGATTTTGTAGATAATAGGTTTGTTTTAATTTGAAATCTAGATTGATTTAATATAATTATAGAATAATTTTAGTATTTCCAATTCAAATTTTGTCAAAGGGTATTTCATTTTAAAATTAGAAAAAAAATAGTTTTGCATTTAAATATCTTTTTATGTCTAAATAACTTCAATTTTAGCTTGGTATAAAATAATAAAATAATAAAACCTTTTTTCTATTATAAAATTGATCATAGGTATATTAATTATATGTATCATAGCCAAAAAGAAAAATATATATATATACGTAATTAATATTAAAAAATAATCTCAATCAAATGAAAAAAAATCAAAGTTACCGAAACATACCAAGATTAAGAGTGTAGGTAGGTTAAATTAGATCAGATTAAGAATATTCTTATATACATGAAAGTATTAAAATTATGGAATTTTAAAATAGAATTTTAGGAGATTAATATTTGAATATTAAATTTAATAAAAGTTTGAAGAGTATGAAGGTTTGAATGAAATGATTGATTTGTTGTGGAAAATGAAAGCATGGAATGAGATATAATGTTATTATTAATATTTAGTCAAAGTTAGGGGGCTGATTTTAATTATTATTTGATGAAATTTGTATCTTATTCTTAAGGGAAATGTTCAAATGTGGACAAATTGGGTAGTTGTTTGGTAGGAGGACCATTTTAGATCAATTTAATTCTAATAAATATGTATTTTTAATTTTCATTATATTTTATGAAACAATTTTGATTTTTATTAAAATTATAAACACTAAAATTGGATATTTTAAATGAAACTCATAATATATGAATTATAATGGTATTTAAACTAAATTTAATAAGTTGAATTACAGGTTTTAGTTATAAACTAAATTTAATACGTCACAAACATATTTAAAAGCTTTAAAAATTAATTTGACACTAACTTTATGCCTAAGAAGAAGATGTTAATTTTAAAATATACGGAATGAATTAGAACCTATTAGATAATAAAATAAAATTTTAAAAATCAAACAATTTATTAAAGTTTAGAGATTTATTAGACAAGTACAATCCACATTCATTAGAGAAAGAACGTTATTGTGAGATCTACATCAATTAGAGGAAGAAAGAGTGCTACATCGATTAGAGAAAGAAAGAGTGCTACATCAATTGGAGAAGGAACGACGTTATTGTGAGATCTACATCAATTAAAGAAAGAAGGAGTGCTAATGAGAACGCTGAGACCAACATCGATGAGAGAAGGAACGTTGTTGTGAGATCTACATCGATTGGAGAAAGAAAGAGTGCTGCGGAGAATGCTAGGCTCCTCAAGGAACAAATAATTTTCTCAATTGGGTCAAGGGACTCACATAAGCCTTAGAAGATGGCCCCTCATGGCAATTTGAACAATTTTATCAAATGGGTCCTGTATTAAACCTCCGGTTGTTCTTAAAACTTAATTATCACCAAGTTGCCATGCAGGGAAGCCTTCCAAAATAAAAGTTCATAAGAAACAAAGAGAGATTCAAAAGAACTGACCTTACTTGGGGGCGGAGAGAAATGATGAAAAATAAAAGGGCCTCAGTGAGGGAATTCAACGAAGCTCATGCAATGCCACAAATCGTTTAGACAAGACGTACTAGATAGAAGTAAACCAGGAATTAACACTAACTGAAAGGACGCCGGCTCGTGGCCACTGACAAATCGTTAAGACAGGACAGCCTTGGTAAAACGTTGTACACCAAAGCAACTACTAATGCAAAAACAGAGAAACGTGTTTCATCATCATCCCCAAACTACCAACAATTGTTCAAGTAGTCAATATAGGGGTTGGTTTTATAGTACAGGAACTTGTCACTAATATCTAAACACTCCACCATTACCTACACCTAAGAATGTAACTGAAAATCCAAATTAGCTTTTTTCTTCAGGTTCTTGACCTCCGAATGGGTGAACGACTGTCAACACATAGTTATGAAAAACGGGGAGTTAGCTTGAATTTATAAGCTAAAAGAGATATGCGACAACAACTCAAATGGAAGCTGAGCCAACTATCAAAAAGATAAAAAAAAAAATTACCTGCGGTATCTGCCATATTCAGGGCTTCGATTCCGAGCATAATCAGGACTCTTGCGTCGTTCACAATCAGGACTCTTGCGTCGTTCACGAGGGCCATTATACCTGTCATAAGCAGGGCTGCGTGGCCCATAGTCAGGACTTGGTCGACGGCGCAACGGACTAGGTGACCTCCGGTAAGGACTATCCCCAGGCCGCCCATATGCTGTTCTCCGGGGGCTATCATCATAAGGGTCACCCCTCTCACCATCATCCCTCAAAGCATACTCAACTGACACAACCCTGTCTAATATTTTGCTGCAAAATTATAAAGCCAATACAGTATTTTAGAGAGTAAAAGAAATTAAATATGCCAATTGAAAGGAGAAACAACCATGTGGGAAACCCAAAACTCTGCTAACCTCATGTGGGTACACTCAAGGGCTTTGGTTGCCTCCTCCTGCGTCTCAAATTGTACAAATGAAAAGTTCCTTCTTATGCGAACATTGAGGACCTTCCCATAAGGTTCAAAATGTCTTTCAATATCACGAACTCTAGTATGAATAGGGTCGAAATTGATCACAAACAAGGTTTTGGTTGGCCTCTGATTTGCCATCGACTTGGATCCATCACGATGACGACCCCGTTCACCCTAACCAAACCAAACAAAAAGCTAAAGTTAAAATCAACTATTGGTTGCCATATATGAAAAGAAAGAGAGATTTTCAAAGCATGAAATAAACCAGCTTCTAAAATGCATAGACCCAAAAAAGGGGGCAACAACGGTGGGAGAAAGGCCTACCCTAGCCCATTCCACAGACAATCTGCGTCTATCATGACCAAATGGCATGTTATCAAGGCCACGAATAGCATCATCAGCATCCCTCTCGTCTTCAAAGTAAACAAAAGCAAAACCTGCAAAATAGAACAATTAGAGATATAAAATACGGTAAGATATTGAAGCATTATCTATTTAGCAGGTATTGTCACTCAGGCTCATGATTTCTTTCCCTGGGATAAACTATAAAAAGTACAACACCTGAAAATATGGGAAGACTGATGCACATTTAGCTGTAGAGACGTTGCATGATGAAATAAGATGGTTGCATACTAAAGGTTTTAATCCAAAATTTCAACCATGCTTCGCCTTTCACACAGCACGAGTTCAGAAATGGAAGGCATGGCAAGACAGATTCATTCAGCCACTATTATCAAATGGAAGGCATGACCAGAATTCAGTGATGTCCTATGATCAGAGGTGATAGGTAGGCAAGGCATGAGATATAGAACATCCATTAAGACGATTCTGATGAATTGCGACTTAATTGATGAGGCATGAGATAAAGATCAATCCATTAAGACGATTCTGGTGTATTGCAACTTAAGTGAAGAGGTAGATGAATGACGAATGATTGATTGAAGAAAAATCAGGATGATGATATCTTTAGATGAAGCTAAGCAGGCAAGCAGGAAGTTTCCTTCCAAATTAATTTTTATGCACAGATGGTGATGAGCCCAGATAGGAGCTTGGTTCATTTTCCTTAGTAGAAATTCCTGCGTCAAAAGAAACATCTTATATGGAGGCTTTCCCCATAAAAATAGTAAATTTTTGCCTCCCA